TTTTTCTAACGTGGAAAAACTCCTAACCCTAGAGTCTTATGTGTCTATTTATATACATACAAAAACTAAATCCTTTTCCCATTAGGATTATCATATAAAATAAATAATATTTATCTTTTAACTAAATCTTTTTCCCATTAGGATTATCATATAAAATAAATAATATTTATCTTTTAAATAATATATATACATACATATATTTTACTATAAACATATATATATTACCTTCCATATATAACCATTAGTTAAATAAATTATATATACCTATATATATCAATATATAATTATATTGACATATATACCCCTCCACATGATTTCATAATGAATTAATATACACATGTAATTATATAGGTATAATTATGCAAAGATAATTATTAAATATCCTCACAACCACGGGCCTTTACCAATTAACCCAACAAGGCTTCCTTCAAGCCCAATACCACATCCGTTGGTCCAACTTCCTTTAATCCCAATACAAATAACTTAAATACCTAAAATAATGAAATTAAATTTAATAGTTACCAATAATTAACAATAAAGGTACACCAACATAAAATCACGCAAATCAAATAAACACTTCACTAACTAGCATTCCACAAATTAAACACCGTATAAATTTAACAAATAAAATTACAAAATATATAATTTAATTAAAACAATACAATTTACCTACGCACTTAATTAAATAAAACAAATCACAACTATCAAGCACCTAATTAAATAAAACAAATCACTTAAAAATAATAATAATAATATAATATAAATTAATTTAATTAAGAAATCCTTTTTACAATATCAGGGTATTACAATTTCTAACCCCCTTTTACAACCTATAGCTATATATTTATAGGCTAAATAAAATAACCCTAACCCTTTTCCCAATCCAAGTCAACTAAAAAAAAATGAAAATAAAAATATTAAAAAGGTAAGCAAAATATGTTACGTATATAATTTGTGTATATGTTTATTAAATAAATAAATTATACACATTCCATTATTTATTAATGAATTATCTAATAATATTTAAGTTACCATAATATTATAAAGTAACTTAAAACATAACACGTATCAAATCTATGTATATTTTTATTATTTAAATAAACATATACATCAGATTAAATATTACTACCCAAATTACCATAAAAGTAATTAATAAATTACTTTCTCTTTTATATATATATATATATATATATATATATATTAAAAAGGTAAGTAAAATATGTTACGTATATAATTTATGTATATGTTTATTAAATAAATAAATTATACGCATTCCATTATTCATTAATGGATTATCCAATAATACTTAAGTTACCATAATATTATAAAGTAACTTAAAATATAACACGTATCAAATCTATGTATATTTTTATTATTTAAATATAAAACATATATATCAGATTAAATATTACTACCCAAGTTACCATAGAAATAATTAATAAATTACTTTCCTTTTTATATATGTATATAATATATATACATACATTATCCATAGGTAATAATCCATACATATCCAACCTCCTATCCAAGTAGTTCATGGGACCCAATTGGTTGGCCCATTACTACTAACCATAACCATAAAAGAAAAATAAAATAAAATAATAAAAGAAAAGAAAACATTTAATTTACAATTCATCAAAACACCATTTAAGCACATAATCTAATTAAACAATTAACATATAGACAAATACAAATAATACATAGACACATAATCAAATAATCAGGTAATACCTAATTCAATTAAACACATAAGCAATTAGTCAAATAATTAATTAAATAATTAAAAAATACAATTAAAACAAATAAATAAATACCGAGACTATCCTTTTAAAATTAGGGGTATTACAAATGTGATGCATAAGTCATTGTATGCCTTAAAAAATTAATGATATACTCATTAGTATATTTGAAATGAAAGATTAAACATCTGATAACATATTATATTCTTAATAGAGTGAGATTGAGAAAATACTAGCTATGATAAAAATAAAAATAAAAAGCCTAGCTAACTTTTGTAGATGTAAATCTCAAAAATAAATATTTGTCAAAATATATCACTGGTTGAGATTACAAGGCATCTTAATAACTGTGATTAATTACACACTTTCTATCCAGGATAGGATCGCTGAACAGCAATAAATTGGGTAGTTGAGATACACCCCAAGTCCTATTGCATAGATCGAGGTATCTAACTAAATTGGAGGTGTAACAGTGATGTAATCTGGATGTGGGATTTTAAAGACTTTAAATCCATGAGTAGATATATCTTTAAAATTAAAGGTGTAGTTGTATGTTATTAATACAACTCAAAGTTAGAAATTTTGAATAAATCAAATAGGAAAGTCAATAGACTTCACCTAGAGGACATTTTAAAGTAAGTCTACACCTGTGCCACTAAAGAAAAGGATATTGCTAACAATAAGTAATTTTAGGGCACAAAGTATACATTTACTCTCAATTAGGGAAATCTCTGCAGAGTATAATATTTCTATATACAACCATGTGGCCATATATAAAATTGAGGGTTGTATTAAAGAGTAATTGTACAGATCATTGAGGGGAATGGGGTTTTAAGCCGAAAGCTAACGAGTCATCTTAATGGAAACCCAACCTAGTTGACTGGAGATCCCAATATCTAGGTTCAAAGGGACAATAGAAATTCTGAATTGCTCACCAGAAGCATTGGGAAGATATAACTCTTCTGCCCATTTCTATGATGAGATAGTGCTACCTACAACTAAGATTAGGATAAGCTACGCTTTTAATGACTCTTATACCTTGAAAATTCAAGTGGAATATGGTAGGATACTCTTAATAAGAAGTCACCTATATGAGTGTGAAGTGGGGCCACTTCTATGAGAACTATAAAAGCTAAGTTTTCGAGCACTCATTGAATACCAGGACTTGTTCAGGGCCAAAATAAACACAACAATGAGAACCAACTTTGTGAGGAAAGGTACTGTGTGTTTGTTATTGTCTTGGTTTACACAAATGGCTGAACAGTTCAAGACATCGCGTTCACTGGTTAGCCAGTAAATCCGATAGCAATACAATAGGGAAGGTTCAAATCAAAAACTACCTATTATGATGCAGTAACTTTCCGACTATACTCTTTCTAGTGTCTGCATGATCATCTTTTGCATTTAAGTAGCCAATTTCCATTCATGTGGGGGATTGCTAGAAATTGTGAATGAAAATTGTTTGATTAGTCATCAATAGATACCTTGGACTGAACAGATGCGATTACTGGTTGGTTATGGGATGAAAAGATGCAGCTCAAAACCAACAGACATAACTATTCATGTGAACCATTATAACCTATTGGAGTGAATGTGTTTATTGGTGAACAGACACCATGTGAACCATTGCAACTTATTGGAATGGATGTGTCTATTGGTGAACAAACACCATGTGAACCATTGCAACCAATTAGAGTGGATGTGTCCAATGTGAAGAGACATATAAATGGTTGTGTCCAATGACGAAGAGACACATATAAATGGTTGTGTCCAATGACAAAGAGACACACCCAATCTGAAAAGGCACATTGCTTAAAAACTACTTTTTAGTTTTTTCCAAAAGGTTGCACCTACCCGAAAAGACATCTTGTTGCCTATAAATACCCCCTTTGGATCATTTGCAAATCGTTTATTTCATTTTATTCTATCTCCCTCTCTAGACTTAAACCCAACCCAAGTGGGTTCAAACCATAGGTTAAGTGGTCCGAGCTACTTAAACCTTAATCCAATTTCATCGAGCCATATTAAGATTGGTTCGAACCATTTGGTTCGAATTGCACCCAATTCAGCATTTATATAGTATAAATTCATTTTTGAGTCAGAGAGAGTATTACACGGAGGAGGTTCGCCGTATTCACGAGTTTGTAGTGCTGCTACTAGTGGATGTAGACCGTTGTATCCTGAGAAATAGACGTCACTGAGTCCGTTAGCACTATAACGGGGCGAATTTGTCTTAAGGACATAGTATTCAATACTAACCTCGGTCCAGGTTCTTTATTTATTATTTATTAATTTATTACTTTATTTTACATATTTAATTAAATATATAGTTGCATATTTAATTAATTATTTCTTAATATATTGTTAATTATCTCATGGCATATTAGTATAAGGGTTGTTATATCTTAAATATCACGTGAAGCATATATATTTACTAACAAATATTACGAATATTTTTTTTTAATTTTTTATATTAATCAATTATTCATCTTGCTTATAACACTAATTGATTATCATATTATTTAGCAATGATTTTTCTTCTACTTCTTCGACTCTCGAATCCAACTCCTGTACAAAATGCATACTGTACAATCCTGCTAAACATTCCGGTGTGACTTTGGTAGCCAAGCCATTCCCGAGCATAAAAGTTGCTTTCTGAAGGGTATATGAAGAAATCTTTTTGTTTTGTTTTTTTTTTTTTTTTTTCGGATATGAAGAATTCGAATGTCCTCCTCCGCACGTGCTGTACTTCGTAGTGTAATTATTTTATAAGTGATATAATAAGAAAAAAAACGTTGCACAATATAAAATGGGATAGAATAGGACATTCTCGAGTTCTAAGAAGTGGAGGTCGCTCTAGACCATATTAATTGGTGTAGTTGAGAATTTACATCCAATGCAAAATCTTTGTAAGAAGTGGATGGGTTGTATTACTAAAGCCTCACATCATGTATCACCAACCAACCATACCTTCCACTCACAATTAATAAAATTAAGGAGACCAGTAAATTGGATAGTACATTGGGCTTAGCCTTGGAGAGTTGGAGGTTGACCTGTTGCAAATAATCTCATGAATGAACTACTGTATCCCATTTAGTAGTTATATTTAGGTTTGCTAGATGGGCCCACACAGTTGTAAGCCCAAACACACCGTGAACCTGTGACCAAACACCTGGTCCCACTTCCCCCACTTCTTTCTGTCATTTCCTTCCCCACTTTCTCTCTCCCTCTCATTTGCTCTCAATATGCAAACTCGTACGTACGCACTATTTCACTTCTTTTTTTTTTTCATCCCTTCCATTTCGATGCTTAACGTACGCACTATACTTACTTTTCCAAAATGACGCTTATACCCTTCTCACGCGTAACCATCCATACCACAATTACGCATCAATTCTCGTACAGCAGGAATCATACAGTAATTTCACAGTTCACCTTAGAATCTCCTTCCCCCGGTTCCAACCCTCCTTTCCCGGTTTCGTCTTTCCTATATACCATCTTCGCCAAGTGGACATTCTCTCTCTCCTCTTTCCCTCTCTAGATCGAAAACTCGAGATATATTATACATGCACACTCGTTTATGTATATACATGTGTAATGTACATATGCAAATGTCATGTGTTTCTTTTTTCTTTTTTATGTACACAATCCAATTCTTTGTCAATTAAACGAAGCCCTAAGTTCTCAGATAACATCACATTTTGCTAAGTTATTTCCGTTTTGAGAGTTTTATCAACAGCTGTTGAAATTGTGGCTGCAATTGTTGGATTGTTCTTACATGATCCTCAGTTTCGAATTTGTTATCGGGAATCGAATCGCCATCAGTGATTTCCGACTGATACGATGGCGGCGATGACAATGGCGACGGCGGCGGGAGCGGTGGTGCTGCTGTACTACGTGTTGAGTCGGAGGCTGGCGGCCGGTAAGGCCGAAGAAGACGGTGACAGGGACGGTGAGTACTCGAAATCGGGTAGATCTGTGGGGTTGAAGAGGAGGCTTTCACGGAGGCCAGCTCAAGCGCCTGCGACGTGGTTCGAAACCATCACCACGTTGTCTGAGACGCTCAGGTTCACGTATTCTGAAACCCTAGGTAAATGGCCCATCGGAGATTTGGCTTTCGGCATCAATTATCTCATCCGAAGGCAGGTACGCTGCCGCCTGTTCTAATCATTTTTTAGGGATTTTGTTTTGCTTCTATGTATTTGTAAAAGTCTATTTTTTGTTCAATTGATTTTATGTTTTTTTGTATTATGTCTCAAAGTTTAAGTCTTTTCTGGTCGGATGTGGTATTGGTTTATGTGGTATTGGTTTGGTTCAATTGAATTTCCGTGCCCATGTCTCATTCCTTATTTGCTTAATCAGTGTGCTCCAGAAAATTGAGAATGTTGAGATTAGAAGTTGTAATACAAGTCGTCAACACATCTTTAATAAATTATGAAAGTATACATTCATTGTGGAATGAAAGTTGGATAGAAAGAAAGAGGTACACCTGGGGAAAGGAGTCTTTTCCCTCATGTTCTTTGAGAAAGGAACGAAAGGGCTGCTGAGCGTTTTGGCCTATCCACCGTGAATAGTAAACAATTTACAGATTTTGAGGGGCAAAAGCCCGCCCACTCTTGCCAGAAGAAAAAATTTGGTGGAGAAGCTGGGCTCTCTCCCCCACCCACCAACACAATTTTCCTTTCTCCATCAGTAGTTCTTTTAATAGATACCGGTGTTTGAGTGCTTATTATTCTAGAATGGACATATCCCCAGAATATGAATTTATGCAACTTTTTTCTTGGCTTCTGTTTTGATTCAATGTTGTCATGGGGCTAAGTTAATCTGTAAAAGAAATTATACCAAATATAATGTTCTTGCAGGGCAATCTACAAGTTGCAAGTGTATATGCTGGAGAAAATTGTGTACAACTAAAAGGCCCTGAAATGATTGCTGAGTTGAATCATTGTTTGAGGCTGTTGACTCTTTGCATGCTTTTCTCAAAGAAGCCTTTTCCAGTGTTTTTGGAATCTGCTGGCTATTCTCAGGCAGATGTCCTTCTTCAGAAGCCCAAAGCAGGGGTATGTAATTGACTCCAGTACTGTTATAATTAAATTAAATCCTCACCACACACAACAGGGTGCGCATCAGGGAAGAAGGAGTTTTAATTGTACTATTTACCTTTTTATTGGGGAAAAAAAATTTAAATGTTACTTAAATTTTTGGTTAATATTTGCAGCTTTTGAAGCCCGCTTTCACAATTTTATGTGACAAAAGCTCAAGATGCTTCCTTTTACTGATTCGGGGTACTCATAGCATCAAAGATACGCTAACCGCAGCAACTGGGGCAGTGGTCCCATTTCACCATTCTGTTTTACATGATGGTGGAATAAGCAATCTGGTTTTGGGATATGCACACTGTGGGATGGTTGCTGCTGCTCGATGGATTGCAAAGCTTTGCACTCCTTTCCTGCTCAAGGCCCTTGGTGAATTTCCTGACTATGAAGTTAAGGTAGATACTATTCCTTTAATATCGAATGACTCCCACCATTTTATAACAACACCCACATTCAATGGAGACCTCTATATGTGCTGGTAAAATGAGCAAGATTAGTTGTAGATGGTAAGAAATGGAGAGAGCAACAAAAAATATCATGGGATGAAGTTATTAGAATTGACTGTTATAAGCTAAACATAGTAGGTGAAATGGCTTGTAACAGAAAAGAATGGAGACAAAAAATTCATGTGACTGCCCCCATTCATATGGGATTAAGGCAAGCATGATGATGACAATGATTTGACCCAACATTTTCCCTTGCATGTCTCTTGGTTTGTATTTGGTTTTAGAATTGATCTAAGGAAGTAATTAAAGGCCTGTCAAGTTATCTTCTAAGTGGTTACCCTCGCCCTTTTTGTCCAATGTTTCATACATTACTAAATCAATCATCAATAGTCCTTTAAGAGTCAGGCCTTAGAACTTTTTATGTAGATTGTTGACATTGCAAGTGCTCAACTTGCCATCATTTCACTCATCCATATTTTATGATTGACTTGGCTCAAGGTTGTGTGACTTGTTTGCTAAGATACTGAATGCATAACCTTTACAACGCCCATCATAGTTCTTTTGACTTATTGTTATTTGAAGCTGGTTAAATGGACAAATTAAGGGCCCTTTATTGGAACTGGCATGTTCTCTGGCAAGTTCTGGAAAGTATAATACCATCTTCACTTTGGGCATAATTGGTAGAATTGATTGAAAAAATTGTTGGTATCTGTATCTATTCTATTCATCTCTGAAATCCTATTACTAAAAATACAAATTCTTATTTTAACTTAGTTCCAAAAAGAAACTAAAATTAGTCTGCTTTAATACCTTTAGAGCTTCATATGGTAGAGCCTTGTAAGATAATTTGTCTCAGTAAATCTTTTTTGTTTGTCAATCTGCTCAAGGTACAACATTTATTTTATTAAACAATCGCTACCTTTCTCCCTTGTATCCTTCACCAGATCATTTTTGCCCTTCTCGTTGTCTTTGATGTTCCTTTATTTTGAATCTCTCTCTTTTTCTATTTATGAAACATTGTTAATTTTTTCACATCTGCAAACCATCAATAGCCATTTTTTACTGACCTCCTTGTCACATTTTAATACACCTTATTTGTTGTGCATGCATTTCTATTCTTTTCATATATTCTTGTCTACTGTAAATCCATCTCAACCCCCTTTCAGCTTCACATTATGGATATATTGCATCTTGACAACCTTTATTTCAGAAGAAATTTACTTTATTCCAGTGCTCGTACACTAGGTCAATGTTTTCTATACTTTTCCTTGTGATATCCTATACAACATATACTTATCAAAATATATATATATATATATATATACACACACACAACATATTTCTTTTGGGTGTGTCTAGCCGTAAATTTTGCTCTACTACTGTTTGTGTTCTTAGTTTAACCAAGGCAGTAATGTTTATCCTGGAATATTATGAGCTTAATGTCACGCCCCGCCTATGGAGGTTGTGCCACGCAGACGCTGAGGAGGACGCTGCATGGCGAGTGAAGTTTCTAGAGTCTTCCGGAGTTGTCTAGAGTTGTGTGGAAGATTCTAGATATGTGTAGTATATTCTAGAGTTCTCCAGAATTGTGTGGAGTAGTATGGAGAGTTCTAGAATATTGTAGATACTTGTGGATAAGTATGGAAGTATGAAGAAGGTGGGAGAAGATTCTAGAGAATCGATCTCCATCGTTGGTTAGAATGCATCCTAGCCATCCATTAGGGATGGGGATGCCTATAAATAGGAGTAGGACTTCATTTTGTAGCCAACAAGTCCTAGAGTGAGTCTTGAGAACCTTGTAGAGAGTTTAAGTGATAGCCTTGTACAAAGCATTCTTTGAAGTAATAGAAGTATTCTTTCCTTGCCAACTTAAGTGCCTTAGTGTGTGAGTGTGCAAGCCAAGTAAGGAGAGGGCGAGGGCCACTACAACACTACTAAGCGCACGAGGGGAGTGTGTTGGCTAAGGTGTGCACGGGAGTTAGGCTGACCAAGTCCTTGCGAGAGTAGAAGTAACGTCTTGGCGCCGCACGGGAGTAGCTAGAGTGGTGCTGAAACTCTTAAGCCCGTGACATTAAGTTGTCTTTTCACAGTTCTTATGTTGTATTTTATCTTGTAATGTTCCCATCAACTAAATCATTATCATCAATAAGTGGTGGGTAATCTGAACCTTTGGTGTAAACTTACTGTGATTTGAAAAGGAATTTAGTGCAGACAATCTCTCTAATGTTAATTTGCATCCATGACTACATGTTTTGGTAGTATAAACTTTGTCCCCCATTTTTCCATGCCAGATTGTTCTGCAGCTTTTCTTATCGTGTCAGTAAGGTTCAAGTCTTATGTGTTTTGTGGAAGTTTGTGGCAATATCAATTTGCTCGTGTGTGTGTGTGTGTGTGTGTGTTTGTATAACCAACTTCTTTGCACTTTTAGATTGTTGGCCATTCACTTGGTGGTGGTACTGCTGCTCTATTAACATATATTCTCCGGGAACATAAGGAGCTCTCCTCAAGCACTTGCGTAACTTTTGCCCCAGGCATGTACTTACCAAATTTGGTGCTTACTTTTTAATTTTTAATGTTAAATGGCAATCTAGTGTCATTTGTTCTCTGAGTGTGAATGGATTATGACACAGCTTTTGTAAATGGAGTATGACATAGATATTGCAAGATGCAGAATTGCCACTAAACTTTTACATGGAGTGTGAATATGGAATATGACATAACTTTAGATGTTGATGTCTTGTGTTCAGTAAGAAGATATTGGCAAAGTTTAACATATGGCATGGTGCTTGCCGGAAAATATATATATCATTTTTCCATGGAATTTTTTTTTCAAAACTGAACATAAATACCCTTGTAAGACCTCCAATTTTCAATTTCTCAAAAGTTAAAATCGATCTGGAGTTATTTTAAAATATTTTTTTTGTTGGTAGTGTTGATTACTTAATTTAGGATCTGTCCTTGCCTTGTGAATGGAAGGAAAGAGGAGAAAACTGAAGAGGAACAATATGAACTTGTGATGAGTTGGAACTTTTTCAACTTGTTACTTAAAAAGCACATTTATTTTCTCTTTTGACTTTTGAGTCAAGTGGTTTACTACAGTGTGCTCTTCCATAAGCTGAGCTATATCTGCCATTTTGCAGCTGCCTGTATGACGTGGGAGTTGGCTGAATCAGGCAAGCACTTCATTACCACAATTATCAACGGTTCTGATCTGGTGCCTACGTTCTCAACTGCTTCTGTTGATGATCTTCGAACTGAGGTGTGTTATTCTTTGAACAAATTTGTTCTTGATGGAACTTCAATATTTAAACAACCAAAATCCTTATTTGGAGTGTTTTGTCATTAGGTCACAGCATCTTCTTGGATAAATGATTTGCGTGATCAAGTCGAGCGCACAAGAGTCCTAAATGTTGTTTATCGTTCTGCAACTGCTCTGGGTTCTCGTCTACCCTCTATAGCTGGTGCAAAAGCAAGGGTTGCTGGTGCAGGTGCACTACTGAGGCCCGTCTCCAGCAGCACTCAGGTAACATCTTCTTGTCTTTGTTGGTTGACAGTCCTTTGATTGACATCTAATAGGCATAATTCCCGTTAGTGATCTATTAATAATCTTTGAATTCATATTGAAATGTTTCACCATTTCAAGTTTGCTTCATTAAAAGAGTCAGTTGAGGATGTCTAACACACCTTAGTCATGGTGTAATTGAAGATTAGAAATTGGGTTAAATATGTACTTTTCTAATCTTCAAATACACCTATTTCTAATGCTCCTTGTCATCTCAAAATTAATGGTCCAATCTTTTCACATTGTTTGGTCATTTCTACATGGTGAATATATAGGTTGTCATGAAGCGAGCACAAAACGTAGCTCAGGCTGTCGTAAGGACACGCTCATCACTATCATCATGGTCATGCATGGGTGCACGACGCCGTGTCGTGGGCACTTCATTGAACTCTAAAGAGGAGGATTTGCCTCTTATAACTGAAAAAACATCCGAATCTCTTGTGACTGAAGTTGCAACCAGAGATCCAACAGTGAACAAGGTGGAATGTTCTTCAAGTGGTGCATCAGGGCCCGAAGACACAGATGAGGAGGAACTTGTTCCGGTGGATAGAGTCATTACTACATCCACCATGGAAGATGTCAGTGAAGGTGAGCTGTGGTATGAACTGGAGAAGGAACTCAAAAGGCAGGAGGATGATGCCGCCAATGTTCAGGCCCAGGAGGAAGAAGCGGCTGCAGTTAGAGAAATTACCGAAGAGGAGAAGGTTCTGACTGATGCAGTGGAGAGCGAAACGCCTCTCTCTACATCAGATGTTTCAGAGAATCATCACTTTTATCCCCCTGGCAGAATAATGCATATTGTTTCTGCCCCTTCATTTGATTCTACTAATTCACTTCATGACAGTCCGACCGAGGAGCATGTTGGTATCTATGAAACACCCAGAGATTTGTACAGTAAACTCCGACTGTCAAGAACGATGATTAACGATCATTATATGCCGATGTACAAGAATATGATGGAACGATTAATCAGGGAACTTGAAAATGATGATGCCTGTAGTTGTACAATGTGAAAAGTATAGGATAGTACAGTGGTTTTTTATGTTCCATTTGTCTTGTATTACACTGATTTGTTTTTTACTCCCTTCATTGAGAGTGTTGGGAAGGGGTTGAGGATATTGTATCCTTTTCCAAGAAAATGTTTGTATTCTAAAAAAATGTGAGTTAGTAGTATTATTAGTGATTGATTCATTTTGCCATTTCTATCACTAACTTGGTTTGGTTTTGAGTCATGGTTCTCAAAACAGGACAATTAAAGTGGGTGTTAAGAGGATCTCCAACCTGTTGTGTGTGTGTGTATATATATATATATATATATTTATGTAAATTTGATGTGTCATAATAGATTTACACAAAAAAATTTGAATTATTTATTTTTAGCTTCAAAAGTTGTTTATACTTTTTGTGTAAAAATATAACAAACCAATCAATTTAATACATATACCTCACATGATTTGTAACAAATTTGTTTAATGGAATGAGAAATGAAATATGTTGATATGGCTCTCTGTAAAAAGGTTTTGTGAAATACAATTTTACACATTGATGATATGACAGTATATGTTAACAGACTGGTTGATGGTGTATTTTAACAAATTTGATTGTGTATATTTTACAGTATTTTAACAAACTTATCAATGTATATTATACACAAAAAAGTATTTTAACAGTTTCACAAAAAAAGTATTTTAACAAACTGTTAGAGATGCTCTTAGCAAGGAAAACTTTTACTAATTAAAATGTTATTCTAAAAAGAAATTCTAACATATAATATTGTACAACGATAACAATTAACAATTAAATATTAATATTGGAATGAGGAAAAAAATAATAATAATAATAGAAAAGGATAGAAAATAGAATTTTTTTTTTTTAAAGGTGTAGAAAATAGAAGTTAATTGTTTGGGTTCACTATTAAATCTCTTTATGGATGTAATAATAAAGAGAGAGAAAATTTTGGGGACATCTACTATTGTGGTATAATAATATAAAGAAATAAAATTTTTAAAAAGTAATAATATAACAAAAAAAAATTTTGAAAGCTTAGGAATATTTAAGAAGGTAGCAATATATAATGAAATAAAAAAAATTGGGTGAGGAAGCAATTGAGGCAAATATAGTTCATTGGAATATATTATCCTAAATTATATAAATTTTAAATTATAATATTATCTTCTATATATTAAAATATTATAAATATTATTAAATATAATGATAAAATTCTTCTATCCAATCTAACAAAAAAAAAAAAAAAAAATGGAAATAGAATCTCTTCCCTAGAGTAATGAGAGACTTTTATAGTTTTCTTCTTCATCGATGGAGTTTTCTAATTCTTGAGAAATATTTTGCCACAAGCAAGTCAATGTCTTTGCCCAAATTGACCAACAAACAAAATCAAAATTAAAATCACAATACCAATTACCCAAATTTCATCAATCCATGGCCAACAAACAAACTTAAAATTAAAATCACAATACGAACTACCCAAATTTCATCAATCGAGGGCCAACAAACAAACTTGAAATTAAAATCACAATACCAATTAATCAAAAGCATAAATCACATGATAGAAAGATAAAAACAACAAACAAACTTGAAATTAAAATCAGAATACCAATTAATCAAAAGCATAAATCACATGATCGAAAGAAAAAAAATGATGAAGAGGGTAGTTAATAAGTAAGTACCACCAACATAACTCTAATATAAAATCTAAAAAAAAAAAAAAAAAACATAAACCCTAAAATGAAATAAAGCATTTAAACTACTCAAAATACTGTTCCCCTTCTCTGCTACTAAAGAAACCTAGATGGTAAAATTAGAAGAACCTAGTAAACCATGAGCGAGACGAAGCAGTGGTGGTGCCTTTGGCATCTTGCAGCACCCGGTCAGTGGCTTCCTTGCCCAGTTGATGGCCGTGTAAATCTGAGAGCATGAGATAGGAAGCCTGTGTCACCATCTTCTCATTAAGGTTCATCTTGTTCAGAGCTTCGTCGTCCTCAGGATTAACATGCAATTCCATAACCCCCTTTGGAACCGAAGGATTCAACACCTTCTTGCAATTCAGACTGTGCATTGCCTTCGCAAAGAATTTAATAGTCTCCGTTTCTTTCATCGTCTCTCTCTCTCTCTCCACTCTTCCCTTTCAAGTGTGTGTCTCTCTAATATATATAGTGCCGGTGTTGTCTTGGACAACAAGTCGTTAAGCTCCGTTTAGGGTTTAAGGACCCGCGCAACAAGCGCGGCAAATGTTAAAGCCTACACTACTCGGGTTTGGTTATTTGATTTGAGTGGTATTTGACCCGTTTAGTAAGGTTTACCGGGTCCAACATGTCCAAGGACGATAGAATAGAAGGCCCAAACTCAGATATACGAGGAATCTAGATGGGTCTCCGCCAGTCCATTATCGCTCGACACACATTCAATTGTTTTTATAAGAACTTAGTAGAAGCCCTTTAAATTCTCGACTTTTTATTTTGAATGGCTGAAAAAAATAAATAAATAAATAAAATAAAATTACCTAACGGACTTCAGAGATATTATTTCAGACTCTATAGCTTTTTAAGTTATATTTTGAATGCTTAAGAGGCACAACTGCCTCTTCAGACTCTATATAGCTTCTTAAGTTATCCCAATTTATGTTGCAAACCCTTTTTTATATCTTTCATGGGGACAAAAAATAATGAGAAACTCAGATTTAAAAAGTACCGAAAATGGCTTCAAGACAAGGCAGGCTTATAGTTATCACTTATCAGCTAACCAAGAAAAAGCCCTAAACCGGAAAGTATATATAAATTTTCTACTCTGGCAAACTAAATTAGTCCAACTTATTTTTATATAATATTCACCAAATGAATGCTTCAACTTCTTATGTGCATCTAGAAAAAGGTAAATTTACTACAACCGACTTAAATAGATGAAATTTTATTCACATGCATAAACATAAAAATAAAATAAAATAAAATACCTCTTATATATAGTTGTTTTATGTATTTTGTTGACGATGGTGGTGTCGGCTCTCTTAGAGCATTTTAACTAGTCATACGTATTCACGTGAGTTAACATGATATCATTTCATCGACATGTATTGATTATTTTATTTTCTTGTCCATGCATCAATTAAGTATCGATCATTTTATTTTCACGTCCATATATCAACTAAGTTTTTCTATGTATATATATATATATATATATATATATATATATCAATCTAACAGTCATTCTGTTTAGCTATACTTAAAGAGTAAATGTTTGGACATTCTTATCTCTTCCTTATTCAATGAAACAGTAGTCATATGTAGCGGGCTAGCAGCATGCATGTGGGTTGGAAAATGATCATTGGATACTTCACCAACATTCATCGTAGTGTTTGGGTGAACTAACGCATACAAAGACACGGGTTCATTGTGTTACCCGCCATATTATATATATATATATATATATATATATATATATATATATATATATTGTATCTCAAATTTTTATTCTAATTAGGTTTTTATTTTAGAGTTATATTCTACAAGGAAATTTCTTATTAAACAAGTAATTCTTGTCCAACAAATAATTAGGTTTGTAACTCTATAAATAAATACTTGGGTTTTGGGTTGAGACTTGTGAGATTGAGAGAGATCTAGTCTCATGAGAGGGATAGGTAAAGGTAATATGAGTAGGAAAAACACCGATGACATTGTTAACAACTTGGAAACATGGTAAAAAGACATGTACAATGTGTTGATTTTCTATTGGTATAATATATTTAGGAGTCATAGTGAAATGTAGGTCAATTTAGATTGAACCATGTATATTTTGTGTTTGTGTGTGTGATTACTTTGTTAGCTTTCATTGGATTTCTGTGTTCGCATACTTTCTTTGTCCCCAACAAATTGGTATCAAAGCCAAAAGTAATGGAGATCTATAAACACAAGTTTCAACATGTGCTGCAACAGGCTTTAGTTATAGGTAGAATCAATCGGTTTGGTTACATGGCATGGAGCTTGAGTAGTCGAGGTGGAGACTTAGAGGTTTAACTGATCGAGCAACGTATAATATGAACAATCAGAGTTTTGCACGAGTAACGACAAGATTGAAGTTGCAAAAAAATTATCCTGATTAATGCCATGGGAAGCGATAATTGGCCGAATAGAATTTGAGATGTAGATTGTTGGAAATTGTGTCTCAAATTTCTACTCTAATTAAGTTTCTATTTTAGAATTGTATTCTGTAAAGAAATTTCTTACTCCCTCTTTTCCAAAAAGAATGTTTTTTTTTTAAATTAAACAAGTAAATCATTGTTTAACAAGGAATTGGTTTTGTAACTCAATAAATAGATAATTTATACTTTGAATTGAGAGAAATGTAATCTCACGAGGGAGCTGATAGATTGGATCGAGACTTGTGTGATTAAAAGAAAAGTAGTCTCTTGAGAGAGTTGATGGGTATAGATAGTACGCGGCTTGGTAGAGTAGGAAAAACATCGGCAAATCTAGAAGAGAGGAAATAGTCTCACTGGTGTTTGTACTTTATTATTATAACATCTCTACAAATCATAATAGAATCTCTTCTCATCCACGGACGTAGACTGATTTTGATTGAACTATGTATATCTTGTATTTGTGTACGTCTGGGATCATGAGATCAATTAATATCATTTTACATTCCCGACTACCTATTAAAACATACAAGAATGTCATCCCCAGCCTTCAAGCAACCCAGATGTTACTTGTTGCATTCTAAACCCGTAAAACTGGGGCGTCCAGTTCTGCGTAAGCTAAAAGAAATGAAGAAAACACACACACACACACACACATTCATATATATATATATATATATATAGTTTAAGTCTCTCTTCTCTTACAATATGGTAACATGCAAATAAAATTTGAAGACCACCTGGACGTATACAATTAAGAAGAAACACCAATTGAAAAAAGAAGGAAACTGTTAAAAATATATATATATAATAAAAAAATGATCAATGACTTGTCAGTGGTCGATCAAAATTACATGAAGCCCAAGTGGGCAGGGATATCCACTTATTCCAAGGAAATTTCCAAAATTTTATTGAGAACTATTTCTATCCCAGAAACCAATGGATACAACAGCTTCGGCAGAAAAAACTAAAAAGCCTAGCTGTGTTTTGAGGTAAGAAAAATAATTTCAGGGGAGCAGTGGACATTTACCAATTCTTGTAAGAATTAATCTCTCTCTCTCTCTCTCTCTCTCTCTCTCTCTCTCTCTCTCTCTCTACGTGTGTGTGTGTGTGTGTAAATTAAAATACAACATCAGGGGTGCTAAAGTAAAACAGGTGTAACTCAGCACTGTCACTTTATGCACTACTTAACCTTCTGTCACGGCATAAGATTATATTTAGTGAAAAACTTGTGATGCATAATACTCGCTTTCATTGAAAACAGGTCTTAAATCTTCTTTGCACATGAAATCCAGAGGGAAAGAAACAAGATGCCCCCTCACTGACTCTAATCTCTCAATTGGATCAGTGACCTTGATATCTCCATCTTGATATGATTCTAGCTTCTCAGGGGCAATTCCTAAATCAATGGTGGTGTGACCAAGTTTTTCCTTCCACTCGGCCACGCATTGTCTGAGTGAAGCTCTGAATGTGATTATAGGAATGTTTACATGTTAGAAACATGGACACACACAAACAAAAATGACAGGAATATAGCAGCCAAGTCATACCTGGAATGTGTAAGATCATTAGGGAAGCAAGAGAAGACATCTTGGTAGATCATGGTATTTGTCTGTGGATAAAAGAAAACATCAACACTTGGTTTTGTTGGAGATGGATATGAAAGCAAAAGATAAATGCAGAAACCTTCAACACAAAATCCATGCGATCATAATCCATATTTTCACACTTCAGCAGATTTCATGCCTCAAGGGGAAAAAAGGAGAAAAGAACCTAAATCTGTTGTAGACAATAATTAGATATTAAACCTACATCCTAATCAACTTCAACCTCCACCCAACTCAACAAAGCTTTTGCCCAACTCTTTGGAGTCGGCTACATAAATACTGTTTCACCATTCCACTCTATTGAAGGTCATAAGCTCAATCAAACCACACACTATCATATCTATCATATCTCAACGCATTAGTTTTGGTCTTCCACTTTTCCAAGCTAGATTGCCCTTCATAAGGACCACGTCACTCTTCCTTATCATGACTCGTTGTACAATATCCCCCTGCCTCACTCCCCAAATATAAAAGAAGAAAAAGGAAATAATGCAGAAAAATACAAAAGATAAAAGTTATTCTCTTCATATAAATTCTCAAGAAGCCTGGATTTCTTATCAAGAAAATGATAAGAATAGTCATACGTGCAAGTCTTCAACTTAATAAAAACAAAATTTTCATCTTTACCTTTGCAGTTGCCATCCATATATCTCTGTAGGTTGAATCAACCACTGGATCATTTACTCGATAAATCTGCAATCAAAAAAGAAAAAGAATACAGTGTTAGCCAAAATTAAATTCACTCTGTTTCATTGCTCCTTTTTCCAGCCATCTCTTCCACAACTGGAGTTGTTTGACAGAGCTTTAGATGTGTAAGCATAATTGAAACTTAAATAAATATATAAATAAATAAAATTGCGTTCAAGTAACTAGTAGATTGAAGGACCTCCCCAGAACGAAGACCTAGGTGTTCCGACCATAGAGAAAGGCGAAGAGTCAAAGAAAAATTTCCAGCCTTCCATGGCTTTCCTCCCATGCACGAATCAACAAATTGTTTGTCTTCAATAAGTACACCAATCTGAAACAACAATAGTTTTGTGACAACCAAGGGGAAGCTGCAACAGAAAATGTGAAAGATTTGCACATAGAACAGACAATCAACCTATAGAATAAAATATATAACTTCTAATCACTATTGTGATTGTAAGATAGTGGGGAATATTCAGAAAGTCAGCAGTAACAATGAAATTCTATATTAGGGTCAAAATTGCATCAATCTCAAAAACAAAGAATCAAATTTATAGTTTTAATTAGTATTATCACAGCATAATTTGTCTAACAATACAACTGTACTCATTGTTCACTTGAACCATGACATCAACAATGTGAAATTTTTCTACAATTGAAAAGATCATATATAAATAACACTTAAATACTCAATATCTTAAAAAGGACATCCTATATAAATAACACTTAAAGACTGAATATCATCAGCTGAACTTACGCAATCTAACAGTATGTAGGTTGCCAAAGCCTAATTTGTCTAACAATACAACTGTACTCATTGTTCACTTGAACCATGACATCAAGAATATGAATTTTTTCTACAATTGAAAAGATCATATATAAATTACACTTAAATACTCAATATCTTAAAAAGGACATCCTATATAAATAACACTAAAAGACTGAATATCATCAGCTGAAATTACGCAATCTAACAGTATGTAGGTTGCCAAAGCCTAACGCAGTAGTAAAAGTGTTGGGACGGAACAGATGGCATCTGAAAGTGAAGCAGAAGGGTGAATTGGGAGTTCAATTCATATTGTTTTATTAAAAAATCAAACCAAAAAAAGGTTTTAAAAAAAAAAAAAAAAAAAAAAAAAACTGTATTGTATCAGATGATTCTATAAATTTTCTTAATATTCACAAAGCGAAGGCACTGTCGTCATTTAACCGTGTAATTGACAGTTCTGTAATTAATTGCCTGGTATGATTAGTTTTGTTAGTTAAGGGGGTTATTTGTTAGTACAGGGATGTAAAAAGTCATTTCTTTATGGTACAGGGGGGCTTTGTGAAATTAACCCAAGAAAGAAAGAACAGAAAACAGACTTTTTAAAAATAAAATAAAAAGAGAACAGAACAAAGAGAATTCATGGATGGGAAATTTAAAACTAATAATATTATATCCAAATCACAAAAATAAAAAATAAAAATAAAAAAAATAAAAAAAAAATATTACTCCTTTCACAAGAGTCAAGTCAAATTCAGAGATTCAACAGCAAGAAGGGAGAGAGAGAGAGAGAGAGAGAGAGAGAGAGAGAGATTTATCAAATGATACCTACTTTTGAGATTTATAATTGCTGGCTGAAGAATATAAAATTACAATGGAAGGGATAGAGTAAAAGAAAATACCTCAGAATCTCTTGATCCAAGCAAACTCCTGTCATTAATATTAGCGGATCCAATCAAGGTTGTACAGTCATCAATGATCATGACCTTGCTATGTACATAAACCTGGAGAAACAAAAGGAATATGCATATGAATATAAGATATATAGATGTCGTACAAGCCAAAACTTGTGCACACAATATAAAGAGGCGCTTACAAATAAATATCATAATTGATCCATGAAAAGAAAGATACATAGATGCGTATAAGCAATATGCTGCAAAGGGATCGTCGAAGACATTACCTGACTGGAGGCCACAGGACCACCATCAGAAAGTCTACCATACGCTCTGAGACCATAGAAAGATATGTAATCATGCATCTTAGGACCAAGAAGATCATAAAGATTATGCAATATTGAATTATGTCCTCTGCATATTGTTCGATATTGCCAATGCATAATGGCTCTTACAGATGCCGCGCCACCATCATCCACACCTCCCTGTTTAGTTTAAAATTCAATACAATGTATACATCTACATTCAAAATTGAAGAATAAAATCAATTAAAAATACCTGGAAGCCTGGTAAAAGTGGTATAACAATAATAACCCTGAAACACTTCTTCTCATTGTATGCTCGCATGATACGCCTATATAATGCTTCTAACACTCTATTTCGTATTATCTCATCTCCCGAAAGACCTGAGATGAAAAACTGATTCTGGAACGAGTTGTCCATGCATAAAAATGGAATTGTCAGAAACATAATCAGCTAATCAGGACCTTTGCAAAGCTTCCTTGAATAGAAACCACCCAAATATTGAGGCAAATTTAAACAATCAAACATCACAAACTACATAAAACTATGAAAAGAAAATTTCTCATGTATCTTTTGCAAAGTTTACATGGGTATGATTGTAGTTGTAGACTTGTAGTAATTATTATCATCATCATCTTTTGTTGGCGTTTCTCCCTCTTTTGATATTATTTAAATAAGGTAACTGCCCTCATACCTAAACTTGCATTCTCGTGCTTGGCAAACCAAGATTTTTACCTTTTTGCACCAATGGTTTCCAAAGAGAAGAAGGAATAAAGATTAAAGAAAAAGAGAAAAAAAAAAAAAGAAGGAAATACAAAAATAAAAATATATAGCACAAAAGAGAAACAAACTTGCCAAGGAAAAATGAGCTATTCACTCAATCCTCAGTTTGCAGTCCATGTGTCCAAGATTTAGAAACAAAAGGAAGTGTCAGTGCACATATTCAAGATTAAATCTGAAAGGCCTCTTTGCCCATAGGTGAAAAATTCAGTAACTTCCAAGTGAGCTTATTTAGGATGAAGGTATGAGGGCAAGATCAGAGAATGCTGGTTGACGTATTGAAAAAAGACACTGGTAAACAATTTAACAATAAAAATGGCACCACATAGAACTTAAATGGCAAAACATTGTAGCTGAATGGAACTTTGAGTGAACTGATTTCTTGCTTTACTGTTTTCAAAGGAAAAGGTATGATCAAAATATCTCCACCATGATTGCCAAAAAAAATCAATTAATAGTACGTGAGAGAGAGAGAGAGAGAGAGAGTCAACAGTTACTAGCGGAAAATATTTTTCTCATTATAATCCCACATATAGTAGAAATAACCCCTTGAAAGATGTTCCATTTTCCCTTCATATGGTGGTATAATTCAAAACAGAATTTTCCCAGACGAGGGAACTTAGCATAACTACGTAAATTGGATGACAAAAGATTTAAGCTATCAGAACTCTATCTAAGATAATATCCATGACTACAACTGTGATATTTCAAGTGTTCAAGGAAATATGTGATAGAAGATCAAGCATCTGCAGTTAACTATAATAAGTCTATAATCAACTGTTCATATGCTGAAGCTGTTAAGAGAATTGTATTTTTATGTACTTTTCTATATTTGTAAGGGGTAACTTTATCTTTTCTTCTTTTAGTTTGGCTTTAAATTAATCTCATCTTTTGTAATTCAATATACTGTAATGCAAAATACAAAGACTTCTTTTCTTTCCTGTACAAATTTACAATGCAAATACATGACAGAAGATCAAAATTTGCAATCAACTATCTACTTTGAAATAGCCAAAGCATTTCAGGAAGCAACTTTGCTTCCACAAAATTGACTCTTTTAAGATACTTGAGTTTATAGCTCTTGAAGAAAGAAATAAATGCCATGGAGAGCTTTCAATGAAATTTTGAATTTAGACTGGACATGCAAGATCTTATGTTTTTGACAATTTTTTAATTTTTTTGGAGAAATTCCCTTCAAAAAATTTCATAATATTATGTACATGAAATGAAACTTTAGTTGATAATAATCTGGATTCTAAAACTAGTAAAAGCATCTGACCATGTATTATGCTTCTAAGGAAAGATGCTAGACACTTGTTTCCCTTATCTTTACTAAGGCCAATCTGTTCAATTCCACATGATCAAGGAGAAAAAGTTAACATAATATAACTGATTAAAATACTGAAAAGTTGTTTTTTTTCTTCCCGGAAGATAAAGGCAAAAATACCCACAACACGCCCCTAGCAGGGCACAAACTCTCAACCTCCCCTTCAGGGAGGACAGATTATACCATCCGGGCTGGTGGCCCAGTGGTAATAGAACAGTTGTTGCCTTTTACAATTATTGAAATATAGTAGGAAGTGTAGCTAGAGTGGGCAAAGCTTAAAAGAAAGAGCCGTTTACATACAAGACAGTATCATTGCATTGTTTTGGAGTTCTTGGACTTCATATTTTGTTTTCACCATTTGATTTTAACATAAAAAAAAATCAATCCTAATTTAAAGATCGAAACTTTCAATATATACCTCAATATAGACGAAGTGTTCTGCTTTCTCAATAAGAGAACAATAAGCATTGTGAATGCTTTCTTCATTTTGGCTCGTTCCAGCGGACCATTGACTGACACTCCTTATAATCTGAAAATGAGAGAAATCATCGATGATGATAGAGTACATGAACTCAAGATCATATAAAATAAAAAGTATTGGAAGTTGCCAGTTGTATTGCATTAATTATATGTTATGCAGATCTGGAACTGGGACAAGTAAATTTATTTACCCAAAAAAAAAAAACTAGGACAAGTAAATTTACTGAATACAGTACAAGAACATGAAAATAACAGCAGACAATCTGTACAACTCTTAACAGTTTGTGAAGTTGTTACAAAATCCTTGCAACTGAAAAAACTAGACATCATACAATATTAAGGGTATCAGGGACTAAGTGAACTCATAAAGATATTAAATATTAAACACTACATATATATTTATCTGAATTCTTCAAAAACTGTGAGGATGCAAGGAAATTAGCAAATTGTAGCTTATGTCTCAGAGATGAGTTCTAGGACAATGACAAGGGTATCAATGTCTGCAAGAGTGAATGCAGGGAGAAAAGCAACATCAATATATTCACAAACAGTTTATGTATTATATGCAACTTAACTGTGGTTGTACCAATTTATATCAACAACATTGTCTGGACAAAGAAATGGGTCAAAAGAAACCTAACATCATTGCATAGATGCAATCTACTTCCAAAAGTCCACCCATGATGCCTTTTTCTGGTGGATAACTATCATGTCGTGGAAATTCCAAACTGAGATTTGAGTAAATAAAAGAAACCTCCACAATGGTTTCTGATATGCACCGCCCAATCTCACTGAAATAGTAATTTATACAATCTTCAAAATCAATCACTTTAAAGCTTTAAAGATACTGTCTAGACCTAATTAAAATAACATCCAGTTAAGGATTGTTGAGTTGAATGAACTGAGTAATCAAGCGATTCTTTTTCTTTTCAGCTGGTTTGAATTACAGAATTTATATAAAAGGAAGATAAACAATGCAGATCAAAACTGCAAGATAGGTACACGATATATACCCAGGGTGCACATGATACTGTAAAAAACTCGAGAAATATAAGCCCACTTCAAGTTGCACCCACCTGACAACGGCATGGAACACGAGGACCAACTTGTCCAGTTTCATCAGCAGAAACAACCAGATCACCCCGCTCCTGTGTCTCCCACCATTCTCCATCCGCAGTTTTCACACCAGGCTGCACAACTAAATCTGAAGACAATGATCGCCGATGATGCATACTATCAAGGTCATCGACAAAACCTTTCATTGGCATATCTGGAACTAAAAATTCAATTTTGGACTTCCGGAAAGAGAATGGACTTCTGCTTCCCTTGCCTGTCGGATCATGGAAGTCATGAGACTTGTCCAGGCCATTTAATTTTGAGTCTCCACTGGAAGCATCTACCCCGTCAGCCACTTGAGGCATAAGCAGTGGAATATCTTGAAAAGATGATGGAGAGGAAAACGAATCTTGTCTTTTGATGTCTCTACAATTCTCTCCTACTTTCTCACTTTCAACATCCATCTCTCTGCTTCTTCCCATGTAATGTGGGATAACCATGTGGTGTTGAGGCATAAGTAGTGGAATTGCTTGCTCATTTGGAGCTTTATTTCTCTGAAAGAATGCATAGGTATATTAAGTATCAAAATGTATCAAATTATTCAGAGGAGACGTACTACCCATTTGTAAAAAAAATTAAAAAAAACCTTTGCATAGTTCCAGCGCTGAACAAAGTGCCTAGCAACATCACGACAAGGTGGTCCCCAAAGAGCACACTGAACGTCATGCCATGGCATACGAGGATATTTCCCACGATCCAACTCATCTTTCATTGTGTCTTCCCAAGAATTTGGTTCTGATTCCCTGAAAACGAAACTAAAAATCTTTAACCAATTTGTATTAAAGAAAAGAATTTTAGCGTACACAAACTGCAAGGCTAGCAAATAGTTTATTTGAAGGGGGAAAAAAGTACATAAAAATAAAAATAAAATAAATGAGCACCAACTCTAAGCTCGAGTGGTATCTCCTGCCACCTCCGAAGAGGGTGAGGTGTATGGTGTAAGTCCCTCTAGGGATGTAGGAGTTGTATAAAGGAAAAAATGACCTAAATCATCTGATCAGCATCAAGCACAGACAAAATATTCATATCATTCCGCATCAATCAATGGTGCATCAATCTCATCTCTTTTTTAATGACTATCGATCTCAACCAACCTAGTAACAATCCCCGTCAACAAAATGATATTGATTATGTCACTTTATTCCAGCAAGTGCAACAATACTAAAGTTCTCCCCTAAAAGTTTGTTGTCTGAAGCAATTTTCAGTACAACTTCAATGATAAAACTAAGTCTATCAGCTATACAAATTGAGATGGAACACAGTTGAAATCACAAAATGTTAAACAGTAACAACAGGAAATACAATCATTTTATATCTTCTAATCCCTAACTATTTAACTAACTGAATCAGGATAAATATAGAGACAAGCAAGAAAACACCTTGGGTTATAGTAGTCCTTTCCAGGCCATATCTGAGGAGGGCAATCACCCACTTTGTGTTCAAGTGAGTCATAACGACCAAAGCATAGATCAAGTCCTCCAATAAAGCAAATCTGGTGATCGACAATGACAATTTTTTCATGGTGGGACCTGTATGTAACCAAGAATATATTTATGCCATCAACTAAGTACCAAACTACACAAAATAAAATAAAATAAAATAAAACAGAAAAATAAAAGAAAATACAAACTCCAAGACAGTTTCCCATGTGAGAACTAAGTACCATAGATAGACACCACTTGAGAAATGGTCGGGAGAACGCAGTACTCTGACATTCTCGTGAATGTGAAGAAGCTTTCTCTTACTATAGACACTGTTTATTTTCAGGGCAATAGCAACCTCCTTGTATAGAAGAATGTAAATCTGCAATATAAGATAAACCAAATCAACAAACTTGAAGTGGTTCCGTATAAGTTTCAAAAAACGAAAACAGTAAGAATAAAGGCCGAAAGAGTTAAAACACACTGAATCTCGAAATATTTCGTCTATGAAACTAACAAAAAAATTAAAAAATCTCTGATTTCTTTGAAAATTAGAAAATAAGAATAATCAGGCAAAAGGGGAGGTAAGAAACGAGCTTGTCATAATACTTAGTGGCAAATTGTTACAGCTCATATAGCAAAATTGTTTATATTTCCAGTAAAAAACACGGCACAAAATCAAAAGCATAGGAGATTGTTTTGCTATCTGACAGATGAATTAGGAATTTGTTATGCAGTTGACAACTACCGATGGCTTTCCAATGTGAATTTCATGATGCTACATGAATAATCAGTGATTTGGTAGCATACTATTTTTAACCATTTTATTCTTAATAGTTCACTCTAGAGTCCATGCACATGGTATGTAGCACAAGAGAAATACGCCTGCTGAAGTGAAGGATCCAACTAAAAATCAAGTTTTAAAGATCTTGAAATTGAAAGTACTAAAATTACTATTTTTAACCATTTTATTCTTAAGAGTTCACTCTAGAGTCCATGCACATGGTATGTAGCACAAGAGAAATACGCCTGCTGAAGTGAAGGATCCAACTAAAAATCAAGTTTTAAAGATCTTGAAATTGAAAGTACTAAAATTATGTAGCACAAGAGAAATACGCCTGCTGAAGTGAAGGATCCAACTAAAAATCAAGTTTTAAAGATCTTGAAATTGAAAGTACTAAAAGTACTATTTTTAACCATTTTATTCTTAAGAGTTCACTCTAGAGTCCATGCACATGGTATGTAGCACAAGAGAAATACGCCTGCTGAAGTGAAGGATCCAACTAAAAATCAAGTTTTAAAGATCTTGAAATTGAAAGTACTAAAATTATATATAGTACTTTCAATTTCAAGATCTTTAAAACTTGATTTTTAGTTGGATCCTTCACTTCAGCAGGCGTATTTCTCTTGTGCTACATACCATGTGCATGGACTCTAGAGTGAACTCTTAAGAATAAAATGGTTAAAAATAGTATGCTACCAAATCACTGATTATTCATGTAGCATCATGAAATCACTGATTATATATATATATATAATTTTAGTACTTTCAATTTCAAGATCTTTAAAATTATATATATATATATAAGCATAGGATCTAAACTACTGCTGGCTTTCCTATGTGAATTTCATGATGCTACATGAATAATCAGTGATTTGGTAGCATACAATTTTAACCATTTTATTCTTAAGAGTTCACTCTAGAGTCCATGCACATGGTAAGTAGCACAAGATAAATACGTCTGCTGAAGTGAAGGATCCAAGTAAAAATCAAGATTTAAAGATCTTGAAATTGAAAGTATTAAAATTATATATATATATATATATATATATATATATATAAGCATAGGATCTAAACAAAAAATATACCATCTAAAATTTAGTAAAACCAAAGATAAAAGTGTGAATATAGTGAAGATCGAGAATCAAGAGATGTCAAAAGGCAAATATTTTCATTCTATAGGCTTGTTATGCAAAAAGAAAGAGAGATTGCAATGGCGTTAACAATATAATTAAAGCAGGATGGGTTGGAAGAATGTTTCAAGTATGTAATCATCTGATTGCCTGATCAGAGTATAACTTCAGAATTTAAAGGTAAATTTTATAAGCTACTACACTAGCCATAATATACAAGACACAATGTTGGGTAATTAACAGATCATTAAATGAGTATGACATGAATTCAAATACTAAGATGGATATGTGGCAAGACAAAAAGAAAAGAATTATAAATGAATAAATTTGTTAGAAAGGTGAAGTAGTACTTATTGGAGATAAAGTGAGAGGAAAGCGAATAAAATGATTTGAACTTTGTGCAACAAAGGTCAATAACTGCACTGTTTAGAAAAAGTAGAAGTGATCCTTATTGAGGGCAATCTAGGAAGCACAGACACGCCTAAAATGGGTCAGACACAGACATGCCCCGACACGTGTCGGACACGCCAAAATCCGTGTCTAGAATTTTTCATTTTTTATTTTTATTTTTGGACACGGTGCGAACACGCCATTGCAGTGTGTCCTATTTTGGGGGTCCAACAAGCGTGTCTTCTTTTTTTTTTTTTTTTCATTTTCATCTTTTGTTGATGAATTTGTTTTCCTCTTCTTCATTCTTGATATAATTTCAGCTGTCGCATGTGACTTGTGATGAAATATGAATTAATTCTTGATTTAATTTCAGCTGCTGTGAGTCTGTGACTTTTTTTTTTTTGATAAGTAAAAGTCGAAGAGTCTGTGACTTACTGACTTGTAAACACATATGAATTTATTTCATTCTTTCTTTGATGAGTTGTTCACTGCTGTTCTTTCTTTTGCTGACTACTGTGCTTACCGCTTTCTTTGCTGACTGCTGTAACTATGGTTAAACAATCACAAATGTTATGACTATGCTATTGTATTTGGAGTAAAGTTGCAACGACGATTAAATGATACAAGTTATCATTCTAATGTCTTGTTTTTTATTTGGTTTATGATTTAGTGACATTGTTCTCTTATAGTTCATTAGTTATGACTCGTGTATTTTTTTCATTGTGAGGTTGATGAAAAATAGTAAAACACTTAATTTTAAAGTACTACATCACATGTATAAAAAAATATTTATATATTATTCGCCGTGTCCCCACCGTATCCGTGTCCTAATTTTTTAGGATTTGCCGTGTCGCCGTGTCCGTGTCATGTCGTATCCGTGTCCGTGCTTCTTAGAGGGCAATGCAGGGGAAAAGGAAGACCAAAACTGACATGGTTTAAGATAGCTAGAAAGATTTGTGATAGCACGTGTTGAATTGAGATTATGATCTTAAATAGTTATGAACATAATTCATGTAGGTCATTCCAAATAGTTAGAAAAAGGCTTTATTTAGCTGTGTTGAGTTAAATTTGAGAGGAAATTATTTGCAATAATTCATTGCACCGGAAAACCTTGCTATTTATCAACAAAGTGAAAGTTTTTCTTTTTAATCAAGGAACTTACTAGGCAAATTAAACTGAAATCCCCTCTAGTTAGTCATAATAAGACACAGTTCCCTACAATTTTTGAAAATAACAGTCCTCCCGTCAGAGACTGCGTTTAAAATTCGTTAAGAGAACATGCAAATTTACCATATTAACCTTGCAAAATTTATTTACTTTAACCAAAATCATAGTTTAAATATATTACATATAGAGATTGTGCTCTCTCTCTCATATATATATATAGGAGAAAGAGACACTGTACTTCTATCATCTCCTTCTCTGCGTTGTAGGACTTTCCATGCCCCTCATCTTCCCCATTGTTGCCAACCTAGAAAGCACGGATATGAATACAGGGTGCAGATACGATACGATACGGGCACGGCGATAGTGCAAATTTCAAAAATAAAATAAAATAAAATACGTGTACTGCAGGATACGGCAAAAAAATAATAATCATAAATTCATTTTTTATATACAAAAAATATATTTTAAAATCAATTTCTTGTAATATTATGAATCTAAATGCAATCATTAATATAACAAAAGAGTTTGTTTCACAACACATAAAACAAGCACCCATAGTCATCATTTAATAAATTTTGAACTTTTCTTAACAATTACCCTATGTTATTATTGTTGAAAAAGTTACATTTTAATATTGCAAACTTGTTAAAAATGTGTTATGAAATATTTGAGAAGTATTGGAAACGCAATCAAAGTATCTGAGAAGTATTGGATACGCAATTGAAGTATCTGAGAAGTATCGGATACGTGTTAGAAATTAAAAAATATATTTTAAAATAATGGACACGTTTAAGGAGTATCGGACACATATCCTCGAGTATCCGAGAAGTATCGGTATCTCACACGAATCCAATATGGGTAAGTCGCTCTCGTAGAAGTATCCCTACTTCTTAGCCAACACAAGCAGTATCTCTGTCACCTTCTTTAAATCATAACTATAATCCACCACATAAAACCCATGAAAATTCTTTTATAAATGTTACCAATACATATATCCAGATATATCTATATATATGTGCGTGTATATGCATATATAAGTGAATATTGCAATTATACAAATGAAATTTAAAATTTTTCATCACTTCCAATTCAAACCTTTCTTAGATATAAGGCAGCGAATTCAATATTTGGAAAAAATTGATTGAATTTGTGATTTTTTTTTCCTTCCAACTGAAGAAAATATTTTATTTTTGGGTGTGAGTGGTTCATTTTCAAATCTCCAAGAAGAGCAATTCTAAGATTTCTGATGTCTTCAGCCTGGTCCTTGTCGTACTGGTGCTACAGATAAGTTCATGGGTACGAGTCATTGGATTAGATTGTTTGATTTTCTCAAGGGATCCATTCTCATTTCTGGTTTAAATCCAAATGGACTCTCTTTGCATAGCTCAATTTCAATTGATCGGCATCTAGACATTGCTAGTTTGAGGGGTTTGAAGCAGTGATAAAAAGGAAAACCAGAAAGAGAGAAAGAGAGAGAGAGCGGTCTTGTGTGGGAGCGCTTAGATAGCAATAAAATTTTAGAGGGAATAGTCTAGAGAAAGAGAGTGTATTTTATAGAGAGTGGCAAGAAAAAATTTAGAAGTTAATGAGAGGGCAACCATGTCTTCCAAGGCCAAAATTATCTTTTAAAATTTTAATTTGATGATATCAGTGGCGTTGACCATTATTGACATTGTGTTACAAGTGTATCAACTAAGAGAGATGTAATTTTTTTTTTTTTTTTTGATAAGAGAGATGTAATTGATCTTTTTAAAAATCAAAAGGAACCGTGTGTAATTTTGATGAAGTAGAGGAGAGGTTAGTGTAATTTGCCCAAAATGATTTTGAAAACCAAAGACAAGTATATCACAAACAGTGGTTTAATCAATTCGGATGAAATAATACATCATAAAAAATAACAAATAACTATGAAACAAATAGTACCTGAACACCTTTTTTGGCTTTTGCTTCCAGTAAAGCATCCAGCCGAGAGGATGCGTGACCATCAAAAGGACGTCGCAGATAAAGTTCTGGGCAAAGCCACCAGCCACAAATAAATATCTGCATCAAAAATTCAATCATCCAACAATTTCTTTAAATTAACGTTAAATAATCAATATGGACTAGACTTCTGACTATGCAAAAACTGGAATAATTAGACCTCTGATTTTGCTTCCTCAATTGCCAAAGCTATAGCTTCAAATGCTGCTCGACCATCTACAAACCACTGAGCCTGACTACCATCTTCAGTTAAACCTCGCGGAGGAGCAAAAGAGCCAAAGCGATGAGGATGACACCAGCCCTCAGGCGGCTGAAGACCAGCATCATTGATTGCTGCAACCCAGTCTTTAATTTTAACATTACTCTTAGTTCTTAACCTTATGCTCCGGGTTCCACAAGACACCTGTTATGACTTCCCATTATTTGTTAGAAGATGAACTTTCCCGAGGTACTTTTAAATTAGATATAACACCTTCCACCATCACACATGAAGAGGTATCAAGGGCAATAATCATTTCATATTTTGTAAGAATTCTTCAGTCACTAGTAATTTAGTCCCTTTGTTTGTAAACTATGGTTATAGAAATTCCTAGATTATAAATCGTGCTTGGACAAATTAGCAAAGCTCTATTTAGCTTACATAGGCTATCATAACTTCTTATCTTGAATTGGAAATTATAAGTACTTCTAAATCTAGTAACAGGAGCAAGCTGGAGTTCTTCACGTTGTTTCTGAGAACTTCAAAATAAATCAAGAAATAATTTGATACTACTTGGTACTTCCAAGTGGGAATCGAAGTTGTCATGTAGAAATTTTTGTTTAGAAAACCATCCCTTTACCTCTACAAGAAGATGCCGAGGTGCAAATAACCAACAGAAATATATGAATCTGAATTCCCTCTCAGATGGTCAGAACCAGTGCTTTATGATGATTTGTTCAACACATTTTTCCTTGCAGTCTGAGTCTGTTTTTCCTTATTTATATGCTTATTCAAACTCAAACTTTATAGTGGAAAGTTACCAATATTTAAGTTTGGTCAACAATAACAGTAGCACCTAGACAGCCTACATCTGTTACATGAATTAGATATCAGCCTTTATTTACTACAAATGCAAATCTATATAGTTAGGAAAAAAGTAACGCATTCATGACTAGTTAACTAAAATATGGTAAATCTTATCTGCCAAATTAAAATGTTAATTAACCAATAAACAACCTATGCAGTGAATTCTCTACATAATATAAGGTACATATGTTACTCACCTTAAATGAATGGCGTAAAGGGTTACGATCCTTTATTTCTTTTGCTAATGATACACGACCCTCTCCATTTCCATCGGAGGCTGGTAGTACATCAAAAACAATTATATCTAAAGGACTGGTATCAAAAGGATCTTTTAGCAGGGCCAAGAATCCAGGTTTTAACACAGCCCACACCTGCACACAATTCAAGTACAGGGCAACAATAAAGACATGGGTAATAGAGTAGTACAACCTTTGGAAAGAAAATATTCAGTGAAAAGGTTCCAAAGTATGGTAATATTTGTGCTCCACAGCATATAATGTCATGCCAGATGCTAAATTTCCAATTGCAACAAATTTTGAATCCCCAACACACTAAATGACAATAAACACAATTAGAAAGTTTAGGGTTTTGTAAGCATGTAGGTGAAACATGGAGAAGGTTTTAGTGAATCATTTTGTCTAATTTTATAATATATTTCCTTGTATGCGTTGAATGTGACTAAAAGTTATCAAACAGGTGCATTAAACCAATCTTAAATTTCATCATTCACCTTAATCTATCATTCAATTGCAAAACTAAAGCTTATTAGTGCTAACTTAAATAAATTGAATTACAGTAACTACAGTTCAATTAAATTATAATCAACTATTAAAAGCTTGCATAAAATTAAGTCCCTGTTTAAAAGGCCAAGAAGAGTCCTAAATATTGGCAGGTGAATTAGACCTAGACACGTATAAAGAGAGAAATTTAATACTTTTTTCAGAATTTAATTTAGGTCCTATGTACTGCAAACTAATGCAACAGCTGCATTGATTCCACATAAAAATGAAATGCTCTTGGTGCACTTAGAAATGAGAAAACACCCTTCCCAAAAATTTCATGAACACATAGGCATGCATCCTGATGTCTGAGAGACTTTGATAACTGTATGGTACCATTCTAATCCAGAAAGTAATATGCTTCATTTATTAAGATGACATGCAATCCTTGTCACGTCTAAGGCAATTTTAAAAAGAATAGAAATTTTCCCTCATAATCCACCATCAACAATTATGCAATTACTATTAAGAATCAGATATTAAAGGTCACTGTTTCAACTCCCCTTGCACCAACCCAACACACAGCTTGGGGCATGAAGGTGTGCTCTGAGGGGATAAGTCTCACGCAAAGGGTGGGGATACCCCTCTTGTTACATAAATTGTGTGTATTCAGGAGGGACTGTATTTGCAACTGATATTACTTTATGCATGACATGATCTGTACGCATGTATGTACAAATCTGCTATAGCCAGTGTCTAAAGAACAATTAAAATATAGAACTACTTAAGCCGAATCGATCTGATTGATGTACCATATAAAAACTATCTGCCAGACTCCGATGATTGTCTTTTGTCAAACTTTTGTGGGTTGAATGCAGGGAGATCATTACTCAACATTTAATCAGTCAATCTATGAAAGTTGCTAATTTTATGACTCCTACCAAAAGAAGCTGCTTAATCTACAAACAAGCCGTTTAGGTAACAAAGTAGAACGCTATCTAACCAGATAAAGTTGAGATAGTTACTACAATCAACCAGATGATAGCTTCTCCTTCAGGTATCTGCCAAATGGCACTCATCATTTCAATATGGCTAATGCCAGCATTTTAACATTTATACAAGAAAATTGGATTATCCTCTTAAATAGAAATGGACACAAATCACTGTCGCTTTAGAAATGAAAGCAGAAAAAGGACAATTCCAGAGACTGAAAGGAACTTACAACAAGCGAGTCTCAAATGGGGAAGAGAGAAGGCTTCAGTACCACCCAGCTAAGTAACCTAAGAATCTTGGGGACTCTAATACACAATTCTTGTTTACTTGTGACAACATACTCTATAGAATTAGTGATGAGCGATCTTTAGCCCATTTCCGTGAAGATCCCAACAATAATTCACAGTGTGATTAGTGAGACCGCAGTGAGTACATTTTGAGGATTCTCTGCCTCAACACTGCCTGCCCTCGAGTCACGACCCCCACGTCCTCCACGAGAACTATTGGGTCAACTCTAGGAAACAATTAAAGCTGAACGTTCACTACCAATATCAGTATTTACACTTGAAGCACCACTAGAGAGAGCAGCTCACTGGAATTGGGAAAGATCAGAATTGCTTTTTTAGAAGCATATTGGAGAGGATCAAAAGAATTTGGAAGGTGAGAGGAGGGTGACGCCATCTTAGTGACTTCGCCTAAGACTGATTGAACTTGTAATAATCTACACAATCCAGATTGATTTCTAGGTCTTTTTCCAGAATTGGCCCTATATTAGCCACAAATGTAGAGCACTGGCAGGGGTAGACTAGGTATGAAGCTAACAATTGATATATTTGCATAAACCAGATGCCCTCATACTTGAACCCATGTTTTACTCTAGGCAGCTCAAGCTTTTAAGCCAACTTAAGGGGAGGGTAAGGAGGAGGAAGAAGAAGAGGAGGAAAATTAAACTGACAAACTTTGAAGAGCACATGCTTCTAAAATGAACAATATTTGTCCTCTGATGGTTTTAAGCAGCAATAAATGATTTGAAATGAAACACACTTGGGCAGCACCACTAATTTCTCTCCAATAAGATTACAAGTATATATATAAAATATTTTCACAAATAAGATTATGTCACCTTTTGCCAGTTGTCATTACAACAACTGGACCAATGACATGCACAACATTTTCTAGTAGCATCATCCCTCTGAATCTTTGGTAAATGCTTCACCATTACAAAATCTTCTTTTAGCTTAGGGCCATACTCCGGTGAAAATGATAGCTTGGAAACCTCCAAAAACTTGCAAACCTACAGAACAGAAATGTTCTCTGTGAAGGACAGGTCCAAATTTATGGTATAGCAATGAAAATAAAGTATAAAAATTCAATTTTACTGAAAAGTCTCATTCAAAAGCATGTTATGTAAATTAAAGGCCAAACAATACAGTTCACAGTTATAAGAACAAATATAGGGATGATATAAGGTTAGTGTCAAAGAGTTAATAAGATGTATCCATGAGCAGTTTTAACGAGGCAAAGATCTTTCTTTATTTAATTTTTGGCAAGTATAAGGTGCAAACACAGCTTCATGTATTCACAGTTATGAAGGAAGGAGATAAAATTCAGCAACCTACACAAACAATCAATTGATTGGAAATCTTACGATGTATAATTGTACACTGATGTAACTGAATAGTTAGGACGGGGTTACTATCCAACAGTTGACCAATGCACCAAAATGAGGAAACCAGAAAAGCTGAAAGGTAAGCCTGTGAGAAGCAGAATGCTACATATTGCACAAAGTAGGGGTGAGCAAATAATCCGTCAATCCGGTCTGAACCAATCCGATCCGTGTGGTTCGGTTCGGTTTTCAGATCTCATGGTTCGGTGATGGTTTGAAAAATTTGCAATTCGGTATTCGCAGTTCAGTTAACGGATTGGCCCCTGAAAAAACCGATCCGAACCGTTAACCGAACCGAACCGAACCGTTAGTCAATCCGAACCGAACCGTGAATTATATATATATATATATATAATATTGAATATACTGTATACTTTTTACCTTTTTTTTTTTTACTTTTTTCTTTCTTTTTTTTTATTCATTATTCTAACCCTAACTCCCAAATAACTCATTACTCTCACTGGCATCTCATTAGTCATTTCAGCAGCGCCTCTCTCGCCTCTTCTCTCCACTCTCTTCTCTCTTCACCTTCTTCTCTAGAGTCTAGTTATCTTCGCCTCTGTGACAGTCTTCACTCTTCACCTCTGTTTTTGTTCACTCTTCGCCTCCCAATCTCTCGCCTCTCAATCCATCACCTCTCAATCCATAGTTCACCAGATTCGAAGCAATGGCGACCTCCGCGTATCGAAGCAACGGCAACCTCTTCGAGTGGATCTACCTCTTTTCCGGTGAGTTCACAATTTTTTTGCATGGATCTTCTTATTCTCCTCTTCTCTGAACATTTTTTGTAAATAACATCAATATTTTCTGTTAATCACCATAATACAGTGATGGATCTTCTTATTCTGGAAGACGACACCGCAGCCGACGGCCATCCCGTGGCTGAACTGTAACTGTGTGGCTTCGGGCTCCACTGTGTAGGCCATCACGGAGGGTTCTCGTATTTGTTCGGTGAACGCCGCCGATCTCTCAGGTCGCTGGAGTGCGATTAAGGCCAATGCTAGTAGACCTTCAGTTTATTTTCCTTTGTCAAGACAGGGAATCCATTGCCCTAACCCTTCCCAAGATGTAAAGTTAAAGTTTTTCATTGGAAAATAGACCCATATGTCGGATTGAGGAGGTGTTTTGCTTTTTCTGAAATTTTGATTCTTTGTGTTTTTTTTCATTTAGGGTTTCCTTGCTACCATGTTTCGTCTTTTTCCCTGTAAATATCATTGATTTTGTATTCATGTTTTTTTTTTATAAAATGAACAAGATTGACAAAGCCCAATCCGCAGAAACCGAACCGATCCGATCCGTTACTTCACGGATTGGTTTGGTTCGGATTGAAGGCCCTCACGGATCGGTTCGGTTTCAATTTTTGCCAATCCGTGGTCAGGCTTGATCTTTATCCCCAAACCGAACCAATCCAACCCGTGATCAGGCCTAGCACAAAGATCAAATGCTTCCAGCATAAGATCAATTAGGAGTAAATTAACAGACTGCCACCGGAAACATCCACTTCAAATGAGATCCATAAGGCTGTCGACCTCCTTGCATCTAGTATAACAATCTTAGAGAAAGATAATATTGCTGATTACTTAAACTGAAACAGCATGCATGCATGCAGGTTTCAAAAAAACATATGAAACAGCATGCATGCGGAACCTAAATCTGATGTGATATTTACATCGAATCATGGGTTGAGGTCAACCATATCATTCTTTGAATTTGAAATGCAAGTGCTACGAATTTACAGCACGTGAATCTCACATAAAATCACAAAGATCTTTGCTCAATAAATTATTTTGATTCATAATTTATTGGTATCAAAAATTAGCACTAAAAAAACAAATTCAATATACTATTTTGCAGCATCGTATGACCTTTTTTTATATTTAATTCAGTAACACACTAATATTCTTAATGGTCCACTTTTAAAAAACATTGTTGATATGCTAACAGATACCTAACAACTGTTTCCTTTTTTCGGATGAATCATTCGTAAGGCAATTTGAGGAGGAAGTTGTCCACAAACCCTGAGGGAGGTAGACAAAATGAAGAAGTGCTTCTGGAGAGCTGTGTAATCTTAGAATTCCTGTCAAGTTAAGGGAAACTTTTACAAAGCCAATTGCCATCTATGCTTTATGAAACAATATGTTGGGAAGTTAAGAATAACATTCTAAAAATGAATATAGCTTAAAATGAGAAGTTAAAATGTACGAATAACAAACTAACTAAAGATAAAATTATATATATATATATATATATATATACACACACACACACACTCAGGAAGTTAGAACGGAAAGAATTGAGTGAAAAAAAGAGTGGAAATCATAGCAACATAGAACAGCTAATGCACCCCATCAGGCAGAGAAGATTGATCCATATAGCCAATCAAGTAGTTGGGATTAGGGCTTTTATTTGAGTCAAAGTGAGAATCGATATAGTAGCATTAGAAAGAACAAACTTCAAGTAACTTTCCGTGGAAATTATGAGTATTCAGAACTAGTTCTCTTTATCGACGATGTGAATATTCCGAGTTGTAACAAACTCTACGATGTCCTCCATATAACCAATGTATCAGTAGCAATTCGAATCACATGAGACTCAGCCGAGTCCCTAATAGAGGCTCTGTTTAATTTAATTTTCTGAAAATAATTCTCAAGAACTCAGAAAACATAAAAAAGTTCTTGGCCTGTTTTCAACTCAGTTTTCAGAGAGAGAGAGAGAGAGAAAAAAAAAAAAAAAAAAAAAAAAGGGTTTTCCAAACATAGTTAATCAAACGAATATTTATATTCTTTTAGTTCTCTAAAACTAGAAAACAATTCTCAGAAAAGTGAACCAAGAAAACCCGAGTTTTCCAGTCTTTCCTATCAAAGCGGACCCATATGAGTTGTTAGGGGAAGAAAAAAATAAAAATAAAAACTAGTCTCATTACAATGGAAGAGCCTAGCATACCTCTCGGGAGTTCACGATATCCATGTTTCCTAGGAAATGATTCAAGTACCCTTGCATTGCTACCTTTGCTCGGTCTGACATAGAGTGCTGCCTTCCAAGAGCAGGCCGAATAATTGGCAGAGCCGCACTAGATGGAACATCTCTGAACAAAAAACCACCTGTAAGAACTATAACAATTATAGCTGGAAAGGGTGTATTCTGTGCTTCCCATCCAACTTAACAAGTGATAGGTGATCAGTATTCACCTGTTTTTAGAACTTTCGTCCTGATGGAGTGGAACAGTCTCATCATCAGCTTCTTCATCGTCTTGGACAACTGCTGTGTGATCTCCTATCCCTAGGTTTTGAAGCCATTCTTTTACCTTAGATATTCATTTTCAATGAAAAGCATATCAAAACCCCCACAATATAATGCCATATAATATCAGAAATATAATTTGGATCTCCACAAGCTTACAAGGTCAGAAGCAAGAATAAACTAATCATCAAATTTTATTAACAGCAGTTGAAACTCACCTGCTCTTGCTTCTCATGAATTTCCTCAATAAATGCACGTTTCTTCAAGGCAAAGTGTAAATAAAATACTTGTGAAGCTTTCTTCAGTAATTGCCACTTGAACTAGTGAACAAAAATAATATATTAGTGCACCAGAAGTTGAAGAGTTAATTTCTAACACTAGGGGAAGAAATAAAGTAGAATTGCATAATCCTGGTGCAGAAGGACAACCATCAAGAACTCTATAACACGTATCATTTTGAATACCAGAGATGGTCACAAGATCTAAAAAGTGCCAAACCAATGCACAAGGCTCCCGCCATTGCCGGTCTGGGGAGGGTAACATGTACGCAGCCTTAACTCCACATGGGCAGAGTCTATTTCCGACAGTGGTTTGTTATAATTGTTACTTAGGTTTATCTATAAATACCAAAAATAATAATAATATTAATATTAATATTAATTATAAATTGAGAGAGAAATTGGATATAATATTAATTATAAAATTAAAGAAGGATGGTTAAGTGGAGTACTCCTACAATACTGTGATCCTACATTACTATGCTATCAAAGTACACCTTTAACAGCAATTAAACCAACCATAGTATTTGGGGCATTTAAATCATTAAAAAAAAAACCATGTTTTTATTGAGATGGACGTGTGGTAAGATAAGAAATGATAAAATTGAAGATAACATTAAAGAATCAAACTAATATGATTTATCCATCATACTAACTGCCAAAGATTATCAGCGAGAGTGAGATTAAAAATGAGTTGCCATAGAAAAAGAAAATTTCGATACCTGTGGTTTGTTCATTGACCGATCTCAAATAATATAGACAGATTCTCTGATGAATCACTCAATATATATAAGCATCATATATCTATTTATTGAAGTAAGAACACAATTATTATATATAAAATTCTCAAACAACAACGTTGAATTTGGAAGAATGTGTGATATAGAATAGAGATCATGCCTGTTTATATTGAAATTCAATGGTGTAGGATAGAAGCATAGGGCTAATATCGCCGGCGTCGGGTCGAGAGACGGAGACGATTATGGCCTTGGGCAACTCATCGAAAATCCGAGTTGGCTCAGGGATTGGGTGGAATGATAGCATGGATGAGGTCGTCGACGGCAACGGCTCCGATTGCATTTGTACGTAACGTGGACCACCGCCGGACATTAACTCCTCGGTCGCCATTGATTCCGATCAGAAATCTTCCTCTTGATGTAGAATACAATAAATATCTTTATGTATGTGTATGTTTGTATCGGAGAGATCCAGAGAGATGGAACGAATAAGAAAAGGTCTAGGGAGAGAGGGAATTAGTTTTGGTTTTGCCTTCTTTTTGACAAAGCACCTAACACGAGCCCCGTCATCACAGTAAGGCATCTCATTATGCATTTTAATTCGGATTCTGGATATTCGAGTTAATGAAAAGGATCATACGAGATCATATTTATTTTAAAATTTCAAGCAAACATATTCACTACCACAAATATGTTTATTTTTTCACCTGAGTACTCATTTTCAGAATGTTTTCAATTATTTTATATTTGATTAATTAATTTAATAAAATTAATATTAATATATCTTTATAATATATTAATACATTTTTATTAGACTATTTTTTTAATCTAATAATCTAGATTAAATTAATTTATCAATTGTTAATAGTTCAAAATCACCTAATGTCTAAATTTTTTTTTTTTCCCAACTTCAATAAGCAGTGACAAAAACCCTTACATAATAACTAATTAAACTATATTCTCTTTCAATTTTTAATATTTTAATCAATACGTACATGAATAATTTTAGAAACTCATCCATATTTTAATCATTTTCTTATTTCTATTTGCTCGTGAAAGGAACTTACTTCAATGCCTCATTTGTCCTTAATTTCCAACATTATTTCCCGATCTAACTTACCGAGGATAAGGCTTACCGAGGATAAGGGAATTGCTAAAAACGATCAATCTCTCAATCTCTCACAGTTATCACTCTTAACAACTTACTTATTTATTTATTTATTTTGTTTTATTTTGTGTAATTAACTTTGGATTAAATACTCTGACACTCCCTTAGATATACCTTTATTACCCACATATTAAAAAAAAAAAACCTTCACTCAGGTTTGGTTAACTTTGCCCTAACCCACCCCTTATAAAAATCAAAAGTCAACTAATTAAAAATATATAATGCCAAAACTACCATTTCCCAATTTAAGTCATTTTAATTTGTACAAAAATATCAACCTAAATTAACTTCGATATATCATTTTAATTTAGAAATAAAGACATGAATAAAAAAAATGCATGCACCATATGTTTAAGAATCTGAAATACACACATGATTCGGCATGTCATGAAAAATCGAAAAAATAACATCTAGTGTTTCCAATCTAGTTTCATGCGTGATTTTTTCTTTAAATCAATCCTATAAAATTTATTAATATTATGAATATATATATATGTATTTAAATCAATTCAATAAAATTGATTTTGAATCATGGTACATAATTTAGCTGATTAAGCTAACAATATAAATCAACTACAATACGATTACTTAATAAACTTTATATAATGTTCATAATATGATGTCATATTTTTTCTCTATTTATTTATTCTTCTTCTTTTTTTCTTTTCCTCTACCTTCCTTCATTTTATGAATTGAATTTATTGTAAACACTAATGTTACGTTTGGTGTGCATGAATGAAATGAAATAAAATTTGGAATGGAATGAGGATGAGAATGGAATGTAATGAGTATTACCATTCTAATGTTTGGTGTGACACGGTGAATCGTTATGGAATGGAATGATTACTACCATTTTATTGTTTGGTTGAATATCATTAAATTTGGAAGGGAATGCCTTTTCTCAAAAATACCCTTTTCATTGGAGGAAAGAAAAATAAAAAAATTATAACTAAACCAAGTCACCATGATTGAATATTTAATCTAAGAAATTGATGTAAATGCTAAAAAATAATATATATATATATATATATATATATATATATATATATTTAATGATATATCAATCTTAATAATATATAAAAAATCGTGCATCACAAGATCAACTCAAATAAAGTTAAGGAAATAAATAAATCATCAACCCAACAAAAAAACCTGGTAATATTTCCAAGTACTTATGCAATGTTTTTTTTTAATTTTTTTTTATTGTAGATTTTTTGAAAATTCTAGTTTTGATAAAATTCTAATCAAGCAAGGTTCTCCATCCAACGATGAACTTGACTAAGGGTCCAAAAGTCAAACTAGTCCACTTTTGGTTCCAAATGATTACACAAATGTTCCAAGACAAAGATACAAATAAATAAATAAATAAGAAAAATAAAAAAAGTGATATACTTATAAGATAAAAGAGATTTAATACCTACTTATCAAAAATAAATAAACAAAGAAATTAATACTTGTAATTTGGTTGAAAGTCCTTCAACTTTTTTGTCAGCTCTGGATATATTTAAAAGAGAGGGAAGATGAAAGACCTTTATCACGTCTAATAAAGAAGTCGATAAATATGAAAAATGGAATGTGAAATTTTTTTGGTGAATGCGAAATATTTTTGCCTTATTGGAATATGATTAAGGACTTATTGGAATATGATAAACAGCTGAATGGTTGGAAGGAGCATTTTATTCCTGCACACCAAACGTAGCATAAGGGAAAAGAAGAAAAAAAGGTCTAAGTAGCCCCTCAAGTTTGATTAACTTTATCCCGACACCCCTCTGTTAAAAAAGTCAAAAGTCAACTAATTTTAAAAATATAATACTAAAACTACCCTTGATTAGTCAAGATGAGATGTACAAGGCCATAAATGAGTTTGAGACCAACTAGGTCATACATGACGTGAACGTTGAAAATTGTTTCATTTTTCATTAAGTTGGACGTTTAATTGAGGCATATATTGTGAAAGTATATTAGTATATTTTTAAATGTTTAATTGAGGCATATGATTGGTAAAACTAATTATATAATTTCATGTTGATTAATGTTTAATTTGTAAACAATAAAGGCAAACCTGAAAAAGGTATCAAAGCATTTAACCCTTAACTTTGTAATGATTAGAGACTTTCCTTCTTTATAGAATTACTCAAAATAATATACCCAAAAAATATGGATCTATAAAGACATAAATTCAATTTTTATTATTTATTATTTTCATTTTTTTGGAAAAATTAGGAAATCCCATAGACTACCGTCCTTAGTGACCCATTTGTCCAAGTTACAACACTTTTTGGTATCTTCCTTTTTTTTCTTTTTCTTTTTTATAAATTAGAATAACCTCATTTACATTATATTGTTATACACATACCTCTTCTCTTCTTTAAAAAAATATATTAGTCTCTTCTATAAATTATTTTCGTCCAAGCTTGACAATTATTTGAAAAACTATGTTAGTCTCTCCTATAAATTATTTTCCTTCAGTCAAGGATGCAATTTTACTATATTTTAATCTCTTAATTTGCAAGTACCGTTTACTTTTGGATAAATTAAGAAATAAATTATATTATATTTAAAATTCAAGAGATTACAAAATTACTCCACTGATCACTTAAAAAGAAAGAAAGACACGTCTAGTATTTTTGGATAAATATTGAATATAATAAAACACAAGATCGAAAAGCCACAAAAGTGACAAAATAGAGACTTACCATTTAGTCATTTACTGCCCATGATCGATAACTGAAAGTCTGAAATAGGTAGGTGCAGCAACAAATGGTCCAACATTAGGACGGGGTGTTGGAAATGTTGTTGTGGACATACAGTGGGACAGCAAAATACCGCTGTACCACATCGCTGGTTACTATAATTATATTCTGGAATTTTATGATCCTATTTACAAATACAACATAAAGCTAACGTAACATTTTATTCTTTTTTTTTTTTTTTTTTTATATTTACGATGTGTTTAATATAATGCCTTCTTATATTTTGATTTCCAAGATATGAAATAACTAATAATATTTTATGAGGAATGTTAAGGGAAGTCGTTATTCTTATTGGTCAGTAAAATTGTAATTAATGAAGACATTAATTATAAATTTTTAACTTTTTATGAAAAGTTAAAACTATATATATATATATTTTTTTTTGACAAAACAATCCTTTTAAACCTTTCATCCGTCTTCTCAGTTTTCTTTTCTCACTTGATGACGGTTTACATATATAGTGTATATATGCATATATATATATATATATATAAAGCATTATATGTATATATAGATATATACACACACACACACACACATATATATATATAAAGCTTTATTTTCTTTTTAACAATGAATTCATATTTATATATAAAGGTTAAACAACACAATTAAAAATAAAAGAGAAGAAATAATATGCTCCCATGTTGTTAGCTATATATATATATATATATATATTCTGTATATGAATTCATGGTTGAGAGGATTGCATATATATATATATATATATATATATATATAAACTGACATACGGATTTAACAAAGGAAAAAGAAAAGGAAAGTAACCCATACAAATCTAACAAGGAAAAAAAATGAAAAAAAGAAAAGAAAAGTAATGCTTTATATATATATATATATATATATGCATATATCTATATATACATATATTGGTATACCTATGGAACATTTATACAGTTTAAATGTAAACCTCATCAAGTGAGGTTCAATTCAATTGCCTAAGTTTGGAGTTTGAAAACTGAGAATTGAGGAAATGGATGAAAGACTTAAAAGGACTGTTTGTCCAAAAAAAAAATAATTTTAACATTTCATAAAAAGTTAAAAATTTGTAATTAATGTCTTTATTAATTACAATTTTACTAACCAATAAGAATAGCGACTGCGAAACAGTCACTTAGCATTCCTCATATTTTATATATCATGATATCAGTGTTGTTTTACAAAATTCATTATTTTGTATTACAATGAAACCATGCTTCACCAGTTTCGTAATGTTTTGCTGCTTTTGCCCTACATATTATTGGCAACCATAAAAAAAACAAGTCATCAAGAGCAACTATTTGTGATATGATTATTTTTCTCTTATGCCGATCGGAACAAAATTTGAAACTTGAGATTTAATATTATTATAGAAATATCATAATAATAAGTAAATTTTCTCAAATGAAAATGATACAAAAAGACATAACTCAATTTTTGCTTAATATATACTTAATATTTTAAATATAAAATAAATTATGAGAACAAATTTGTAATTTATAATTGGGGTTGGACGACATTTCTCATCTGCAATTGCACGAATTTTCAATTATAACTCCAACCAACACCAATCTCCATTCTAAAATTATTTAATCATCCCGTTAACGTTTTAAATGGACTGATCTTGCCATCCTTAATGACACATTCGATTGCGGAACGTAATTATGATTTTAAGACG